TTAATCAAATAAGGCTCAATAAGAAGAGAAAAAAAAAAAAGAAAATGACCTGATAAAAAGCAATAGACCAGGAAAATGGGACCGATAAAAAGAAGTTATCGGACCCACTATGTGGCATTTGAACAAGTGCAAAAGGTAATCTAAAAGTGGCAACTGCAATCGTGTAAAGAAAATTTGCGTGTTTAAGATATAGATGAAATATTGAAATGTAAATGGACGGCGCAATTAGATTTTGGGCTAGTCGAATTTGTATATTCGTTAGTCATTTATACAATTTTTTTAGGCTCTCCCTTCCTATAGAATATGATAGATTAGATTATAAAAATGTTATCTTTACGACAAAAAAAGAAAATTAAATTTTGGTCGAGGGAAAAAAAAGAAAAGAAAAAGTGACACCTACTAATTAAACTTGAAAAATGAAAACAAAAAAATTTAAGCCTATAATGATTGGTTTGGAAAAAAAAAAAAAGAAATAGTTTCAATTTATTTGAATAGGTTTGGCCTACAGAATCACTTGTAGACAATAATGTGACATATTCAACGACTACATAGTCATGAATTATTATAAAATATAATGATAAAGATAAAGTGATGGCGAATAATGTATGACGACATGAGAATGCCTTTTAAACGCTCAATGTAATCCACAAGTCAACACAGGCCAAATGTACACAAGTATTTTCATGCAATTGATCAACTTAGATAGAATCTAATTACTTGTCACGTGTATGTACTTTCATCTCCAACAAGTAAATTATCATATTGGATTTGTGTAATGGCTGCCCATCGGACACCCGTTAAAAGGTATTTTAGGTGTTAGAATTTTGAAAAAATAAGATTAATTAGAAAAAATATATAAATGGAAGGTAGGGTAATAATTCTTAATGTGTATACATACATGGTAGGTTAGGTGAAATTTAGGTATATTAAAGAAATGATTAATTTTTTATGCGCTGACGTACAGTATATATTTTCAACATTAAATGCATAATACATAATTCGAATTTAAATTTGAAATTCAAATTTTGCATATATGTCGTATATCTAGCCGTGATAGTGTATAAACTATCAATGTATATAAGATTTACTCTGAAAAAAAGCCATATCATATTTTCATGCTAAACAGCGTTCCTTCTCTTCCTTTCTTCTTCTTTTTTTTTTATTCAATCTTTTTTTCTTGTTTTTGTTTTTGGTATCAAAGTTTTAGACCTCTTCTCTCTCCCTTCTACTACAATTATGTGTAAAATTTGTTAATGCAATACTTTCAACGATACTGGATATGACTTTGAACTATATAAGTCAATTTATACAACTTCCGAAGCAATCCTTCTCTTTTTATTCTCCTTTTTATGTTTTCATTTTCAAAGAAGTTCATTTATCTCCTTCACGACAAACGCACGAAAAATGCTTTAGGACTTTTATGGAATTCCACCCTTAGGGCAATATATCCACACATTCCTCAATCGAATAAGACATCACCTCTTTGTCACTCGCTACAAAGATGCTACAATATTGTGCAACTGGCGTATAATAAAGTGCCCAATTCCAACTAGCCACTTTCATCACCAAATAAAGAAATAAAAGCGAAACCTATACAAAAAGTCATCAAACCAAAATAGTAGTCATTTTAAAAATGTTAATGATTGGTGATACATTTGGTTTATGATTTAGATAGGATATGATTTAGTATATTTTACACCTAGATCATCATGTATATAGACACTTTCACATTTATTGTTTTTTCATATTTTGGCACTTTCTCGATGTAACTTCATTTTTCTAACATGCTAATACATTAAGCCTCTTCAAGCATTGAGTACTAAGTAGTAGGCAATTTGTTTGTTTGGATACACATATTATTCCAAATAATATTTCGCTTGCATCATAAACACATTTCCCAATCCACTTTTTTATATTCCCAATCAATTTTTTATTTCACATGCATCACATCACAAAAAGTACTACAGTAATTATTTCAAATAATACTCTATCACAAATGTTTTCCAACGTGGACTAGACCCGTCGGTTTGACAGTTGAATTATGAATCGATCATATGTACGGCCCGGTTCATAGGTTACGTTGACTTGACACAACAATCAGTCAAAACCATAAAAAACCATTCAACCGGTTCAAATTGGATCAAACTGTGAACTGCGATTTTTTTGTTTTTGCAAATTTGACCGAAAATTATCTAAACCTAGAGCTGTTAAAATGAACAAAACTGTTTGGTAGCTCGGTTTGTTTCGACACGTTCGTGTTCATGAAAGACTCATTCGAAACCTTAAATGAATCGAATTCGAACGAATTTTTTTTTTCGATTAATAATCTAGCGAACACGAGCATATTCACGAGTTTTAACGAACGTTAGTGAACATAGACATAATTATCATTTGACAAATTTTAGGGTTAATTTTATGGCTAGACTTTTATATTTGGAGGGTTTTATTTGTTATTTTTATGTAAATGTTAGTTATATAGTTAATGAATAATAGAATTTAGTCACTTAGTGCTTTAATTATTTTTTAGAATGATTAATGATTTGTATGGCATATTTAAGTCTTAAAATAATTTGGATTCGAGCATTTCGAGCATGTTCGCGAATGGCTCGTTTATGTTAAACGAGCCGAACACGAACTCGAACTCGAACATGAATTTTGCTTAACGAACCGAACACGAATACAGGTTTGGAGTTCAAAATTTAATGAACGAACACGAACGTTGTTCGAATCACTTAACGAACAGAGCTCAAACATGAGATACTCGGTTCGATTCGACTTGTTTACAGCTCTATCTAAACCTAATTCTTGGTTTGTACACACTAAAATGAAATTTGACTGTTTTATAGACTTATATGAGTTTTTATATTATTCTTTGTAAATTCTAATACTATTTAGACAATTGGACATGTAAGTTGAATAACTATAACATTGCTCTTATGTTAGTTGGCGTTTTAGCATTTATAGTTTTATTGGATTTTGTTTAATTTCAGAATATGGTGGTGGTTTATGTAGGATTTAAGATTTTTTTTTCTAGTAAGTACAATTGATATGAATTTATTTGTTTGAATTTACAATTTTAAAAATTTGTGTTTAGAAATATTTAATTTTTTATCTGATGATATGTATGAGATATTTCATTCTGTGCACAGGTGTGCAGATGTGTCTATATATAAGTATATATATATATTGAACCAGAATTGAACTGGTTCGATTGATTGAATCTTGACTCGATCACTGCATCGGTTCAATTAATGGTCCGAATTTTTAAACATTGGTAGTAGGGACGACAACATATGGAGTTGAGGCAAGGAAGACCTCTCCTATTATCATATAGTGTTACAAAAGCTCCCCTCCCCTTCTCTCCCACTTGATTGCCCTGGTCCATTTTACTACTTCTATAATTTTTTCTACATGTATAAACCAATAACAATTTTGCTAACCATTCGTTAGATTTGTTAGCAGGAAGTGCAACGTAAATTAAATTTAATTATTACTTTGGTCTTCTAACTTGTTTCTTCATGTTTGATACGATTTAAAAATCTAAATCAACAGCGACTCGCTTTTGTATAAAAAGAATGCAATACATAAAAGAAAAAAAATTCAAGCGAACTAACTTAATAGAATACACCCTTTTTATCACAACAAATTGATAATAAAAAAATGAATTATCATACACACGTGTACACACACACGCCCCCACTGTACAGAGTCCCGTCTAAGGATATACAGCAATTTCTCGCAGTAAGGTTCGAACTGGTAATCTACGAGATATTACAGCATGTGATCACCGATAATTTTACGACGGACCCTCTCCCCTCTACTTTTTCCTTTATTACCTTTCTTTGTACGCGATGCAGTACCCTATTACGGTCGGAAATGAGAAGCTTCTTTTCTCACAATTTGGCCATGTTTTTCACAGGCAATCAACAAAACACCAAAAGCTAAAGTTGCACAGAAACATGAAAACAAGAAATGTACCACAAGTAGTAGTGGCTTGAGTCACCTCCTACTCCATTATTTCAAGCTAGGCAGCAAAAACAAACCACTTGTCCTCTTCTTTTATCTCTTTTTCTTTTCAATTTCGTAGGCCTTCATCTCTCTCTCTTTTCATTTTCGTAGGCAACAAAGAACACATCCAACCCACGAAAATTGCTTTTTAGAGCTTTTCAATGGAGCTGAATTGCACGACAATTTCAGACACACCCCTTTATCCAACAAAGACCTTTTTGTCTTTTTGATTCACCACAATTTTGTACTATTTTCTCTCTTACTAGTCACAATCATGAAAAAGCCCCCTTACCAAAAAGTCATAAAACAAATCCAATTCCCCTCCTCAACCAATATGGACGTATATCATTACTATTTTTTAATTTCTCACAAACACCAATCCCATATCCAGTACTATTTAATTAAGAAAAGAATAAAAGAATACACCAATAGAATCTAATCCACAAGAAGCAAAAAAAATAAAATAAAATAAAATAAATTATCCCTTATTCCCATTTCCCAATTGAAGTCAACGGCTATTATTAGGACCACTTTTCAACTCTCCCCTAACCACCCAAAATATTCCCCCAAATCAATACAACACCAGACCATAGTCAAAATAGCTACTCCTACCACTATCTCACCAAATCCCAAACAATTCTCACCTCCATCATTCTTAATAGACCTCCCTATCCTCACCGTCCATATCCATCACCCTCGGCTTACCTGATACCTCACAGTCACGCCCCGTTTAATCGCGTTTATGGAGCGCGTCCACGTCAACTTGAACAGCACAGTCGAGTGAAGATATCAAATCCCTGCCGACCCCTCCCTACCCTTATCCTATAAATACCCTACTTCACTCACTTTTTTTCTATCTAACCTTTCTCGGTCTTATTTTTTGCTGCTTTCCTATTCTTTCCACAGAACCTATATATATATATATATATATATTTATATATATATATATATCTATATACACACATGCTTATATCTACATATACATTTCAATTTTTTTTTCTTTAACCTCAATTTCCCCGAAAGATTCCTTCATTTCAAAAACCCTAGCATTTTCTTCGGTTGAAATTGGTGCTGAGCTATTTGGGGTTTTGCATTTTTTGCAATGCGGCAATTCTGTTGAAGCCATCGAATTCCCCAATCGAAGATTAAATTCCTCTGCATTTTTTGATTCTCGCGAAATTTGGACAATGGAGGAGCCGAAAAGGTTCGCTGTCGGCTATGCGTTGGCGCCGAAGAAGCAAGCGAGCTTCATACAAGGCTCGCTTGTGCAACTCGCGTGCGAAAGAGGCATCGATTTGGTACAAATCGACCTCCAACGGCATCTGGTAGATCAAGGACCGTTTGATTGCGTGCTCCATAAGTTGTATAGTGATGATTGGAAGCGGCAATTGAAGGAGTTTGAGGAGAAAAGCCCTAGCGCTTTGATTATTGACCAGCCGGAAGCAATTGAGCGGCTCCATAACCGGATTTCGATGCTCCAGGTGGTGGCGGAGCTCGAAATGGACCCGTCTAAAATAGCAGGGGCGGAGACGGCTTCGTTCGGGATTCCAAAGCAGACTGTGATTTATGATTTTGGTTCGGTCTCGGAGGTGAATGTGGAAAAGGAAGGTCTGAAATTTCCTGTCATTGCCAAGCCGTTAGTTGCCGATGGCAGCGCGAAATCGCATAAGATGCTTTTGGTTTATAACCATGACGGGCTGAATAAGCTCAAGCCACCGATTGTGTTGCAGGAGTTTATAAATCATGGTGGGGTGATTTTCAAGGTCTACGTGGTTGGCGAGTATGTGAAGTGTGTGAAGAGGAAGTCTCTGCCTGACATCAGTGAGGAGAATTTGAGGAGCTTGGAGGGGTCCTTATCATTCTGTCAGGTATCTAACGTAGGTGCTCATGAGATAAATCCTGACAAATATTATAAACTGATGCATTTGGAGAGTGCAGAGTTGCCCCCAATGAGCTTGATAAATGAGATAGCCAAGGGTTTGAGGAGGGCAACTAAGCTGCATTTATTCAATTTTGATGTTATTAGGGACGCCAAAGTCGGAAATAGGTATCTTGTTGTTGACATTAATTACTTTCCTGGTTATGCTAAGATGCCCAATTATGAGACTGTCTTAGTGGATTTTTTCTGGAAACTTTTGACCAATGATGATAAGGATTTTGATGTTACAAAGTTGGCTACCTGTGAAATTGGCACGAGGAATGCCATGGTAGGTCATCATCATTTTGGGGAGGATGAGGGCATGATTCCGGCTTCTCCTCTTAAACGGGAAGGAAAGGAACATTCCCTTCAAGTCTGAGTTGCAGCAATTTTGTGATTTATCTGGAGGGAAGAAAGAGGAGGTGGGTAATTGCAGAATGATGGTGGAAATTTCTCCAGATTTGACATAGAGAGCTTCAGAAGGCAGATAGGTAGTGCAGCGATGAATAACTAGGTTCTTGCTTTGTTTTAGATTGCTAACAGACATTTAATGGTGTACCTTGTTGATCATGTACATTGCATAGATAGGTGCTGTTGAATAGGCTGAAATGTTTAGGGAGGTTATAGTTATCAAAAAATCGCAAATGTAAGCAAACTCCTTTGGTAACATGATTTAATGAGTTTAGCCATTTGGTCATGAAAATCATTTTGCTATGTCAAAAAAGTTCTTGTTAGAGTCTTTTGTTTACAACTATGATTATAGTATCTAATTTTGCACTGTATTTCTTTCCACAAGTGACAGTAATGACAATCATAAACTTCAGTTTGATTATGGGTGGCTTATGTTGTATCTGATAATGGTGTTTGTAGATGAGAAGATTCCGGTTTGATTCGTGTCCGAAGTATGTAGATGTAACTAAATGACTTAGAGATTCCAATTTGAATAGGCTGCTCTCCAGATGCCTGATCTTAGGTGCAGGGCTTATTTTGTTGTTGCATGCAGTTCTAATCTATGCTAAATTGCTATGTCAGATGTAGCATGCTTCTTTCAGGAAACTGTTCTTGAAGGATAGCAAATTTCTTGGGTTTTATTTGATTTACCTTTTTGGGCTCGATGGAGACCCACAAACTTGACATTACTGTGAATTTAGTTGCTTCTGAAAGCATCTGCAGTGGTTCAAAGGATTCATTTGGATACCCAGCTTGACCAGGCTGCTTTCCGGAAGCAGGATGTTGGTTAGAGGGCTTATTCTCTTGTTGTTTGTGGTTACATTGTTGGATAATATATGTAATATTGACTTGTTTTTTTCCGGGGGGCGGTTTTGGAATCTGTATGTTGGATGTTAATGAATTTGTTGTCTCCATTTCTAGTATGCATATCTGTTATACTTAAAACCTGCATTTTTGTCTGTTTTCTCTTGTTGCATCTATCACTAGCATTTGTCAAAGGTAGTGAAATGGGATCCTTGTAACAAGCATCCCAAGATGAATCAGGAGGGTTCATTAAGATTAGCAAAGTCCAGTTATTCAATATTACATACCCAGAACTTGATCATCAACTAAGGGTTTTCCTTGATGCAATAGTTGCCAAAGGTGAATGCCTTATAAAACTAGTTCTCAGGTGCAGCAAGGTTCAAATGAGATGTCCCAAAGGTATGAGACAAGGTGACTTTGTTAAGTTATTGAAGGTTCCAAGTGTAGTAGCAAGGCTCTTCAGATGGGAGTGCTTTATAAATTTTTATCTCAACAAAGAAGCTGCATTTCCAAATATAAGCATTATGAAGCTAGTCTGGGTTGTGGAAGGTTGAGGTAGTTTTGAATTTGACTTCTGTGCTTCCTCCCATCTGTGATCGTACTGAAAGTGAGTATTCTATTCAAAGGCTTAACCAATGCCAAAAATGTATAGAAATATGTAGAGGAAAATCCTTTTAATTAGTAACCCATCACAGAGAAAAATTTATCTTGGATGTTTGTTTCTTACTTTTCCACATGTTACCAAATTTATCAAATTTTCTTTTGATGCATACTTTTCTTGATCAAATTTTCTTTAACACAGTCTCTCTATAAGCTTCCATAGTCAGTCACTGCTCATATCTTTGATTTTTTAGATGCTATGTGAATTACGTTTTATTGGTCATGGTTTTTCTGTGACTCAGTCTTGAAGAGCTTTTTGTATCATCTCGATGCCAGCACTTTTGTCTGGTTAAAGGTGTATATACATTTCATTGTTATCTGTATCGCATATGTGATGTAGAGGTGGTTTTTTGTCAAATTCAAATAGTTACATAGTGTCATTGGTTTGACCGTGCAGTTTAACAGTCTCGTCATTTGGTATTTTTGGAGATTTGGCTGTCAACTACTGGCTTTTCAAGCTAGCATGTCTCTCAGGTATCCTTATTTCATTAAAGGCTCATTTCCAATGCATTCATCTGCAATTGTTTGCACTGATTTGCATCTTTGGTGACCGAATACAGATTTTATGACCCAAACTTTTGGGAGCATCAATGAGAAGAATCAGCTCCAGATTTATGGTTTCTCATTGTGAGATATTTAGAAATAGCTACAAAACACCTGTATTGACGCTGGCTAGGATGGTTGATTGCGAGGAAAGAATAAGGTGTGATTCAGTTCCCCCTTCCTCTGCAATCTTAAACATGTATTATCCATGTTTGCTTTCTTTCTTTTCTTATCTGGGCTGTCACTATATGGATGGAAGGTTTCAGCATGCTATGCAAAGCATAGTCTTCTTTAAACTTGCATTATCATCCAATGCATTTTTAATAAGATTGTAGAGAATTCATGCATTTGTATCAGTTGTTCCATATGGTAGACATGATTACTGAAGAAGCTGCTATTGAGTATTGATGTACCTTAAGACAAGTGGCTCCATTTACTTGTCTTGGCTGTTGATAAGAATGTTTCCCAACGTGATCAAAGTAAAGTGACTTAAGATTATTCCTTTTGCTGGATTTACTAGTAACTCCTAATAGAGCAGCTTGTCGTGGAGCATGTGCTCTAGGCCATAGTTTATGAAATGACAAAAATTTTCTGACATTTTAATTCATAATTGCCATTGTAAGTTTCTTGAATCTGTCATATTATTCACAATCAAATACAAGCATGGATTCATTTAATGATATCAGTTTGAAATTTGATTGCTAGGTGGTGCAGCAATTATTACTGGGAATTACAATGAAAATCTCAGGATGCTAATGGGTTATCAGGAATTGTGAAGGAGAAGAGTTCGGGATGGGAATTTGCTACCTCTATTTACATTTTCTGGTGAGTGAACTTTTTGAACAACACCTATATACTCTCCTCTCAACTATTTCAGCATCTTTAAGTTTCCCATAGAATTTCAGGTTTTTTGTTTACTTTGTTTCCCAAAATGAGAGGGAACCATTATTACTCTAAATATTTAAATTATTACTCTAAATATTTAAAGTATATGGTTTTGTATCTCTTTCAAGTACTCAGTAGTTCTCCCTAGTGGATTGAATGTTACTGTAATGTCAATGCAATTTTTGTCATGCTTCTTCTCTGTTTTACATATTTCTTTTTTCTGTTGAAACAAAAGAGAAATGTCATGAGATTTGGTAAAGTAACAATAATAATTATGCATGATGAATGTTTTAACTATGCCCTCAGAATAACGCATGCTAGTAAGTGCTAAATATAAAGCACAGAAGTATTCCTGCATCATTCTGGATGATGAGCAATGACTAGAAAAGATGAAGAACATACGTGTATGGACTTGCTAAACAAGAAGAGCATACAAGATACTTTTTTAGCAGTAGTTTCTTTACAAGTTCTTAAATGCAAATTGAGGTTTAAGTTCGGATGAAGAAAGTTCTAATCAGTTTATTTACTCTTTTGTTTTCTGCAAAGTTAAATGCATCCAGATGACAAAGACATACTAGAGCTTGAAATCTGGGAGATAATTTAGCAAGAATTAGATGTTACTAGGTGAAAATTATTTGTTTGGAAAGGAACTATTTTAGCCTGGCAAATGCATGAAACATTGAGGTATAGTTTACTGTTTCTTAAGAAAAAATTAAGAAGAAACTTGGATTGCTGTAAACTATGGTGGTGTTAAATAAACTGGTATTAATTGTGCAAGTTTTTAAATGATAATAGTAATGATAGATGAAGTTTCTAGAAAGTTAAGAGGACCTAATTTTGGATACAACAGGTAGTACTCTGGATTTGTGTGTGAGATAGGAACAAGTTAAAGCAGTATAATTGGAAGGAGTCCATGAAATTTAATCTCCGTACTTACTCTTCAGCAAAAGCCAGTGGTAGAGGACTTTTGGACATATTTTTGTCTGTTTTGGATAAATTGGTACTCATCTTTAGCGTGGCATATTTGCGATGACGGTAAGACCAGAGAGTGAGAATGGAATGGGTGAATATGCTGAAGGTGGGATGGATTTAGAAAGGACATCTTGATAAGGAAATATGTAAACAGAAGAGAACTCTGTTTTTGGGAACATTGTTGTCTATAGAGACGCAAAATGCTTTCAAAGTAGATGCCAGAAATCATTTTTGGTTTGTTAGGAAGAGAATTCATGTTGAGAGTCTCTGGAGCAAAGTTCTTGACTTGGCTTTTCCGCCTAGTTTTGCAACCTCACTTGCTCTTTTTGCATTCCAGAAGGGATTAATTGTTTAAGCATAATGCGAACCTGCCCATTAAAGAAAATAGATACTGTTATAGAATCACAAAGGATTGTTCTTTCAAATTAGTGGGTTCGATGAACCTGTTTCATGGTTTAAGTGAGAGGTGCTCATTTTCTAAGGGTGGTTAAAGAAGTTGAGTTCACCATTTAAGAATGTACACGCTTGCCAGTTCTTTTTTGTGCATTTGTGTCAATTCACTTTTGTCATTAATAGTGCTACAGTACTTTTTTACAAAATTATCTCAAATAATCCTTTTCTTTTGTTTCCTTCAAACTTTTGCTTTATGCAGTTTATAGTGTAATCTGGAAAATGCATGTATCAATGTTGGTTTATGAGATGACATTCTCTGAAAACTTCTGCTATTGAGTCAAACACAATTAGCACCACCTTCCTTTTCTCTGTAATCCTTCTAACTGTTGTTTATAGTTTGTCGATTTTCTGTTTATAGGTGGTTTTGCAGATGCTACATTGGTTGATTGCAGTATGTTACAGAAAGATCTTTGGTCTCTCTCTCTCTCTCTCTCAAGTGATTCTACCCAACCTCTCCTTCCATTGTTCTAGGTCGAGTGCAATGTATATTGGTTTCTATTATTTACCTATTTAGGTCGAGTGCATTGTATATTGGTTTCTATTATTTACCTATTTAGCAGAAATAGTACAAGGCAGAAAAACTTTTGTCATACTTCCTCCTCAGTCCTCTCACTTTCTCCCTCTCTCTCTTCCTCACTCTCTCTCTCTCTCTCACGCTTGTGTGTGTGATGCTAGCAAATAACTTGCACATGATGGATATTCAGAAGTTTTTAAAGGTTTGATAGTTAGATATATATTAATTTGGTAATCAAAGACTCTGAAATGAAGTACATGAGATGTATTTTTTGTAATCACAGCTATGACTATTGACGTTTCGAAAGTTAATAAAGTTTACATGGATTGATTATGTTTAAATATCAAACTAAGAGCTTGTTAGTGGGGCTCTTGAACAACAGTTGAAAAAATACAGTAGTCGAAGGGTTAACCTACAAAGAAGATTTTTCTACTACTGCTCCAACAAACAAAATTTTCAGGTATGTATCTGCAGTGAACAGTTTCATGTACATAATTATTTAATGATAAATAGATTCATTCACTCTCTGGAAACAAATCCTGGTGGAGTGTATATTTGGTTGATAGTACAATGCAAGCTTAACTTTCTTTGGTTTTGTTTTGATTCTGTTCAAGATATACTAGTGTATGATTTTTTTTTCCAGGATTACTCATATCAGGTGTCTCTATTTGTAATGGCAGGAATTGCAGCATCTTTAACTGTTGAGCAACTGACTGTTGCTTCTTCCTGGGTGGAGGATTCTGTTGGTTGTCAATGATACGCTTTCTGGAATTGTAGTTCAGAAACTTTCTCAGAAATTCAGGTGACTGCTAAATGTTGTAAATCTTCAGATAAAGTTTTGATTATTTTTGTATGACAAGCATTGCAGAGTATGTAAATATACAAGTATGTCTGAGCAGAATGTTAATGAACTTACTGTAGCAGAATATCGATGTTGAGTTTTTTGTTCAGCATTCAAGGCGCGTGCAACAGTCTAGTGTGAGTTTTCAAATCATCCAACTGGTTTTTGAACAGTCGAAATTGGTCCTGAAGGTCAGAGCAAGAAATACATCATAGTTTTGAAAGTTCAAGTTTTACTTTATTTTCTTCCATGCATTTCCATGCTTGGAAGTTTGCCATGACTGTAAAGTAGACAGCTTTATTAGAAAGGTTCCATAAATGTGTGACTAAGAGTTTCACCTACAAGAACGTTTCGATATTTCAAAGACAAATTTAGCAGGACCACAACGAAAGTTAGTAAAGCAAGCATGTCTTATCCTACCTTGTCATCTGCTTCCTATGATTATTGAATAGTAACAGTGTGAGTTAATTAATTGCCTTTGTTGACTTCCTTGCCGTTCCATGATTTGAAGTATCACTAAATCTATGCCTAACCTTAGATAGAACTCTGAGTAAATGGATGTTATTGGTATTGTCAACTAGGACCCTGTAACACAAGCAAATTGCAGTATCCAATTACCATATTCGCATTGCATGGCACAGTTGCAATTGTACAATTTATTTGACCTTTTAAGCTGCTGCACTGATTTTTTCTTCTAGGGATATGCCAAGTGCCCTGTTGCTAAGTCGATCACTAGGTAAGTATACTTGCCAACCTTTGCTTAATAGATAGAGATCAATATTCAATAATGTATGATAGGACCAGGCTGCAATTTGGTCAGTATGTAGCCTTAGGGGTTAGAATAGGTTTATAGTGTATACTAAAACAGAGACTGCTGGAGGCTTGGGCCCTAGGGATTTAATTAAGGCTTAACAGTTAGCAGTACTAGTCATATGAGTTACTCAGAGGCCTAAATTTAGCGTTAGTTAGGTAAGTCATATACAAACCACATAATGATTCGAGCCTTGGCTGTTAAAATATGTGGCCTTGTGTAGTTAGTGGCTTAAATTGCACGAAAGGAATCTTACCTAATAGGTAAAAAACATCTGACTTGAATCATAGTGCATTTAAACTCCCTTACGATCATTACAGTTCCTTTAATTTTCTGATATCCAAAGGCCCTTGCGTGTAACTTGAAATCTATTGAGAAAAAGTAAATAACGTTTTCGGAATATCATATTCTAGATTTGTTTCTTTTTTTTTTTTTTTTAATTCTATTGATTAATATTCATCACGATTTAATGATTCGTAAATACATTATGAAATTTTGTAATTGAGTATTTTATTTGAATATAAGAAAATATGTCCACGGGAAAGTTTCTTCTTTTAATTAATTTTCTTTTTCTCCTTTACGAATTCTTCTTAGTTGCCAGGACAAAGTGAATTATGCCAGAGCAGCTCACAAATGAGTAGGAATGAGGACATCTTAGGCCCTAGAATTCTAGAGAATGGTCATAAATGCCTGGATATATTACATGGTAATAACACCTAATTGTCATCCTCATTTTTTTTTTCCAACCTGGGTTTCATCTTATTGCTATCTATAGAGGTATACAACAACATCACAGCTAGTGAATTTACTAGGCGCCAGAAGATGAGTTAAGAAGACTGATATGAAGTAGTCGATGTCTCTTTGAGACGACTCTGCATCTCTTTGATAATTTTAAGTCTCTTTTTCTGGCAGAGTTGTTTGGCTTTCCTCCATCTAGTTTGGTTGATTATTATTATATGATGCTGCACCAGACCTGCACTACTCCACTTGTGTGTTTTTTCCAAGAAAATTGGGCAAACAATGCTAAGTAGAACTGCACCAAAACAGAAATGGCACTTGGACACTCAAAAAGAGGCATGGCCCAGTATGTAATTAACAAGAAGAAATTCTACAAACAGCCCCACTACAACTTGAGGGGAAAAAAAAAGAAGAAGATTAATGCTTAAACTTGGATGCCTGTCTTGTCTCACGTAGATAACGTTTTAACAAATCTTATCTATGACTAAGATTTTGCTTCTCAAGGAAGTCAATGAAGTGATGAAGATTTTTCCTACCCTCAAAATCAATACATAAGGAAAATTTATCTTGTAATTAGTGACTACAGATGCCTTCATGATTAAATATTCATGAAGTTTCAAGACTGTCCTGAAAGAAGATGAACACTGTATTAAACACTTTCTATAAGGAACAAGATTTTGATAGACCAATTTATATTATTAATGAACAATGATATACACGAAGTAGTCAGCTATATTTGTACATGGCAGACCCACCAAAAGGTGCCAAAGACGATGCATGGTGGCATGATACTGCTTCAATTTGGAGAGGACTCCATAAATATGTAGGATTTTGACAAGATTTTGGTTCCTCTGAGCTAAAGTAAAAAGTGGAATGATTCTCGACCACCCTGCCCGATGGTTCTGCTCCCGACAGAGTTTCCAACAGCAATATGGAAAGTGGAGAAAACTTTATCTGACATGCATAATTTCTACTACTACCTAGTGGAATGTTTATATACTGAAACCTTCAGTTTGAAAACTGGGTAGAAACCTCATCCTAAAACGTCTTTCCAGAATAAACTGCTGGCTTCATCGTTCACGAGACTATTCCAATCATCGAAGACATTGGACTGCTCAGGTGCTTCTGCGGGTATAGAACCGTGTTTGAAGCTTTCAAACGGGTTGATGATGGAACTCTCAGGTGTCACTGAAACTAATGACGGGAGAGAATATTCCGAGTTATACATGTTGCTGCTGGAGACATTAAATCCGTCATCAAGAATGGGACCTGGAGTGATTTGACCATCTAAGCATGGCAAAGAATGTGAAGTGGAAGTCTGTTGTTGATTGAGCAGTGGAGAAATATTGCAGAAACTTGTATTCATGGACTGTGCTTGCAAGGGGTCAACGGTGAAGTCGGTGTTTGTGCCGTCAAAAAGCCGGTTAAGTTGGATAAGATCTGCCAAGTTGGTGTTTCCCTGAATATATGGAAGAGGATTGGGATTTATAGCTTGCATCATGTTTTTGAGGAGTTGGAACTTGATCAAGTCATTAGCATTTGCCTGTAAGTTAAGAGCAGCATCCAAAGGATTGATGAAATTGTACAGATCAGAAACTGATAAGAGCTGAGCCTGAGAAAGATTAAGAAGACTAAAATCAGGAACTGGCTTGTGAGTTGTCGGGTCAATGCCCCTCCTTAGCAGCTTCTTCTTCAAATGCGTGTTCCAAAAATTCTTGATTTCGTTGTCAGTTCGTCTAGGAAGGTGAGCTGCAATTCTTGACCACCTAAAACCACATGTTAAATAACACGAAGGTTGAGTGCAGAAGTTTTTCATCATTGATAAAAATAAAATGACAGGAAGTGAAGGAAGATAATTACTTGTTTCCCAGTTGCTTATGGAGGGCTATGATAGCTGCTTCTTCTTCAGCCGAGAAGCCTCCTCTCTTAATACCAGGCCTCAGATAATTCGTCCATCTTAGCCTGCAACTCTTGCCGCACCTGTTCAAGCCTGCTTGCTTGGGAAGAGTCTGCCAGTTTCCCTGGCCATGCTTTTCAATATATTCAACCAACCTTTGGTCTTCCTCAATCGACCATGGCCCTTTCTTTACACCTTTTTCTGGAGGCCTCACCATGCTGCGAGGAAGAAAGACAGAGACAAAAGCAAAGAAGAATAGGAGATATATTGACTGAATGTATAGGTAAACCGGGACAGCTCATAGTTGTACATATGAAGATTTAAAGAGAGAGAACGTGGTTTTTTTTTTTTTTTTAATGATTAAGTGGAAGACATTTTTCTCATGAGAAGGCCAACATCTTTTCTCGATTATTTTAAACGTTGCTTCCAAACTGAAGTTAAAAACAGAAACAAGTCTTCTAGCAACCCTTTTTTCTTTGTAAAGGAAGAGCCAGGCTCCTCACCACCAATTGGATGCAGAAATTAAAATAAGGTTTAGGTGGTGACTGTTGCTTGCATTGTGGGGGGTAGGGGTAGAACTTGCACTGTAACTGTTCCTCAGAACACGTATGTTGAAAGGTATCCATCATGACTAGCTTTTTTAACTTTTTCCACAAAGTTTGAAGGATGAAACTTCTTAGCATGGATGACCAAAAGAAATAATGAGCCACTACTGAGATTATTTGAGTACAAAGTAGTATTTGCATTATAGTAGGATTGATATCTGATAGTATAATATTTTCATCAAGGCAAAAGTGCAAAATTACTAAACTATTGCAAAATATCACTTTTCTCAACCCTTTTTTTTTTTTTTTTTGGGTCAATCTACCCTTGCATTGTTTCTAGTTCGTTTAATCTGCTTCATTTAACCAAATTTTTGAGAAAAATAAAAATTGTGAATTAGTTTGTTGACCATTGGTGCACTTCACTCTTTCATTAATTATTATTATTTTTTAACGGCAACCCTGTGCACAGGGCGGGGATGCCAGCCCCTAATTTTATTAATCAGCACACTCTTTCATTAATTGCTCATTGTTTACTCTGCAAATTTGTCACATAGAAGCTAATCTCGTGTTAAAAAATCGAGAGTTCAAGCATATATATCTACTTCTATGCTAGATAGTTTCCTGAAAAATCCCTATTTTTTTAGTACAAGTTTTACTACTACTTGAAATTTCATAGTAATCACCATTGATATAATTTTCCAGCTTTTACGCGGGGTGGAAAATGTTACAATGACTAGAGATAATAAATGAGTCTGCGGTGCGTGGAAGTTGCATACTACTTTTACATGGGTTTTTATGGATTTCGACGACCAAAGAGAAGAAATAGAAAATAAGAAATAGCATGACGACTTTACCAATTATCTAAACGACTTTGCCAATTTAGGCTGTGTTTGAACTGAAGAATTTGACGAAAAATTTGAAATTCTTTTAAATCTCTCTAATTGTGTGGATTATTTAGAAAATATTTGAATGTGTAACTCACTAATTGATTTAGGTTTTAAAATACATTTAGATATATAATTAAATAAATTACAAATCCAAATATTTCTTATTCAATCCAAACAACTAAAGAGTGATGTTGATGGATTTTTCGGATTCTTCATTAAATTTCTCAGTCCAAAGGAAAAGGACTTTGCCAATTACTTGCTCCATACGGTTTAGCTAACATAGCAAAGACTTCATTTTAATGAGTTCATACATTTTTATTGACCTCAAATCTACAAGGTTTTATATCTTCGGTCATGAATAGTAATTCTTTTCTGAGATTCCAACAATAATGCAACTAGTCTTTGTTTTTTTTTTTTTTTCCGAAAACGTTAACATTAATAATGAGCGTGTTTGGATAGTAAATTATTTGAGATAATTTTGTAAAAAAATACTGTAGCACTTTTTGGATGTGATGTATGTGAGATAAAAGCTGATTAAAATAGGTGTTGATGATACAAACAAATCAGTGTGTGTAAATAAGATAGAAATAAATGTCAGTCCTCTTATACAAATTGATTATTTCCATTTATTAGCTTCTCTCTTCTTGTTTTGAGTTATGACACCTAATATACTTCATCCAACATCAATAATCAAATGATTAGCTTGGCTGCTGCTCGTATTGGGTTCTCATGAACGGGAAACCACCAATTAGCATATTCAAAGACCATTTAGAAAACTGTGTCTTGACAGTGATGCTTGAAATAAAGAATTTTAATTTAACCATTCTCTGGTAAACTATTTAAGTAAACAAACCATTCATTATATGTACAGTATAGATCTGCTGCTTTGACTGCTATAACAGATCAGAACCTCATGCAAAATTTTTTTTTAAAAAAGTTATTTTTACCAAGACTTCTTTTGAAGATTTGCGTAATATGAGCAATTCGTCTGGGATCTAGTATTGTCTCTGATTTTTTTTCAATAGTGTAAGGACGAAGCAAAAGCATTACCATGCAACGTGATGGTTCTGGGATATCTAGCAACTTTCATATGCAGGTATCTGCATGGCCAGGTTCGCTTGTTTTTGTAATTAAATTGGTGAATGTCCATTTAACTGTTAGAAATGACATCGATTATGTGAAATATTTTGCCCTCTTATCTTGGAACTTTACAAAATTGCGAACAAATATCCTTTAAATTTTTTTTTTTTTTTACAGATTTGGTCCCTCTACAACGGAGCCATCCAAAGATGCAAAGCGCACCCGCCAAGATTTTATGCATGACACTTATAACACTGGTGGATGCAGGTGGTAGGGGTCCCAAATGGGGTAGCCACCCACCCTAGACTCTAAAAATTCTTAAATACCTCTTTGAAAAATTAGAAAATTTTTTGATAGCCTTCTAACAAATGGACTTTGCCCGCAAAGATTTAAGAAACTCTATTATACCATGTTCAAATAATGTTAAAATTAAAATCTCAAGTTTTGATCCCACCAGTGATATAAAGTAACTATATATTAACTTTAAGGGCAAAATACACTTTATTCCCCTGTGATATAGCTAATTTTTACATAACCTCCATCTAGTTTTAAAAGCTATATATAGCTCTCTCATAGTTTGGATTAAAGTGTTAAAGTGATGGAAATGATCATCCGTAATGGAACCTTTAAAAATGTCAAAACTACCCTTGTTTAAAGTGTAAAATGGCTTAAGTGACCAAAATATATAAACGTAATATTCATGACACTCTAATTTTGTATGGTTTTATATTTTACCATATAACGCCCTTATGATTTAGTGTTTTATCATATAACCTCCTTAAGATTTTCAATATATATAAACATAACCGCCCTATGGTTAATAAATAATTTTTAGCTTTACATAAGGGTATTTTTGACATTTTAGTTGACTCCATTATAGATTGCAAATTCCGTCACTTTAACGCTTTAATCCAAATCATGAGGGGGTTATGTATAGTTTTTAAAATCATAGAGGGATTATGTAATAAAATAATAAACCACAGGAGGGTAAAGTGTTATTTGCCATAACTTTAAAAGTTCATTATTATAAACTCTATTGGGCAATGTACGTAGTACCATTTAGCTGTGACAAGAGGCTAATAATAGAGATATATTAAGTTGATTGTCGTTTGTACTTGAATTAAGTAGAGATCTAGCGTGAATTCGTGTGTATGTCATTATTAAAGTAATGAGAATCAGCCTGGAAATCATCTTATATGGTTCGGCTTTTGGTACGTACATGCTAAATTAAGTTACCATGTCCAAGAACTATTTTCCACGGGTGACCCAACAAAGTTAAGGTAAATTATTAATTATTGTATCCACTTAAATCGAGAAATTAAACTATTAAATTGGAAATCATCACATTCCCTATAAAATGGTAAATATATATTCTGCCACATCAGCTACAGAAAGCAGTTTGAATTCAAAAGTATCAAATGATTGGTCAAATAGTATCAACTGATTTCCTAACCACCCAAAGAGAAAAGAAACAGCTACAAGTTAAGCAGGCAGTCATATAATCAAAGAATCAATTTCCCCTATGACCCTTGTAACATTAAATCAGCCGCCATTCAGAGAAATCGTGCCAACTTTTGCCCGCTTATTTGTTATATTTCCACTATGAGAAAAGGGTAGTTTTTATTTTTGGGGGGTACAATAAAAAAAATAGTTAACAAAAAAATTTGGATTCTTGTTAATATAATTAAAGTCGTGAAGAACTCAAACCTTAAAAAAAAAAAATTTGTCAAAAAAAAAAAAAACAAGGATAAAAATGATGTGCAAATAATATGTTACCTCCTAGCTAAGCACATATGCCAATTCAAAGGCAACACGAGTCAAAATCATGACCCTTTTCACTTGAGTTGTTGGTAATGTTTCTCACTGCCTCGTCAGTTTCTTGTGGTTGAATGCAATTTACGTATTACTCTACCAGTTTCCATGCAGCCGATAACTTTTACCACAAAAAATATATATATATATATTTTTTTACAGTTGAAGTAGAATTTCACTGAATTTCCGTAGTCCTTATCCTTGACTTCCATAAAAGGTTTTTTTATGCCCCTTAATCAACACAGTTGACATCACTACTACGATTTTGTCAATAGATCGAAATGGGTGGTTAGGAAGTTGGGTCAGATTTGCTGGGAGGTCATCTGGGTTCCTTACCTCAGTCGCTTGAATAATGGTAAGTCCTATAATCATCATTAATCTTTTTCTTTTTTTTTTTTCTTTGAATAAAAAATATCATTTCATTCATAAATCTGCACTAATGATAGAAAAATAATCGTCGAATGTATCATACAAACAACAGATTTGAAAGATTTACATATATGCCAGATCTGCGAAAATTATAAATAAATCTCCAACCTATTCCAAATGATATCTATCTCTTCGAACTCAATTGGTGTCATGATCTCAATCTCCAACTCATTCCAGTGCCAACCAGAGAAAGAAAAGTAAATGGAGTGATTTAGGTATGGATATTTTTTGTTCATTTTTTGGTTTTTCTCTGTGCAATTTTTACATGTCTAGTGCAATATACTGTAATACTGTATGAAATCGTTGCTAGTATTTATAGGAAGCAACAAACAGAAGAGTTACAGATGGATATCTTTTCCTTGCAAATTAGCTAATCTATTGTTGCTGTGCTTTGGATATAAGTCGACTGATTCAATCATTAAATCATTGACAAAACTAGTGACCCATCCATCCGAACCTTTTGCTAGGCTTCTCACCGAGCTGGATTTAATAACTATGGCTAATACACTACATTCAGGTCAATAATCAAATGACTAGCTTGACTGCTCACATTTTGTTTTGGAGTTTTTCTAACGCTTATAGGGCATTCGTTAACACACTTAATATTCATCTAACCTATCATATATAT